CTACCATAGACTGCATGGGTTTCGTTGCAGCAATTGAGCTCGATCCTTTTACGTGTGATTAGTTTAAAAGGAATTGCATTGATGAGTTTTCGTCTACGCCAAGTCGGGTGCCCATTTCTGTTAACAGGAGAAGTTTCGAGAGGCTAGTGGTAAGTTATAGATCGTGAAATGATTTAGTTTTGATTGTTTTCGCCGACGGTTAAAAGATTGTCTTATGAGCCTTCTAAGGTCGAGATTTTCTATAGCCCATGTATTAGTGAATAATCCGAAGATTTTACTTCAAGGTAGGGAGTAGCTGGAATTCGTATGAGATTTAAATAGTGAACGAATGCGCCATATACCAACAAGGCGTTGTTTTTTCTAGCTGTTTGTTCGCCGTCTTGTTCGAATGGTGGAACATGTTCAGCACCAAATGTGTGCTCTTGCACATCGTCCTACAATGGATCATACTGTCAAACGCGTACGTATCACTTGGCTGCCAGTTGTGGTTGGTCTTTAACAGCGACATCGGTCGTAGACTGTTCGACCGCGAACTACATATATATGTAGTGGTCCACTAAAATGCTTGTAACGTTTGCGTGACGTTTTATTTTAACATCTCATAAGAAGTTCGTTTTCACGATTTTCCTAACGGATGTCAGATTTCTCTGTTTTGTGTGGAAATAGAGTTATACAGGACGGATAAGTAGTAGCATCGATGATGGGACTGTTCACGAGTTTTTTAGTATGTGACGAATAGTGAAATGTTACCCGTCAAAATTATGGATAACGCAACACTTTTGATGGATGAAGTGTCACGCTAAACTCGATGTCTGTCGATTTTTGTCGCCATTTTCTATCAAATGGCGTTTTAATTACTTATGGATGACTAATCGTTCAGCGAGGGCACGTGTAAAAAGAAATGAAGGAAGGTGTGTTGCATCACTGCTGCAGATCGCGTTCTCGATTCCCGTGATGACCCACATACAACATCTTGTAGAACAGGGCAAGCTCCACAGTAGTGCAGTAACACGTTTGCTTCTAGCCCTTTCAATGTCGAGAACCTTTTGGAATCCAATATCTGTAAAGGGTCACACTTCAAATATGAGAAACGCACTTGTTCATGGTGCCAGTTTGCAGAACATTGCACATAAATTGTTTCCGAATACTGAGTTGCATAATCTCGCAGTGATTGTGTTTGATGAAAATCTTATTTTTTCAGCTGTATGCACCCACGCCTGCCAAAATGCTGGAACTTGTACAGCTCCCAATGTATGCACGTGCACATCGAACTATACCGGAGCCACATGCACTACACGTGAGTACTTTATTGTGCTGGCAGTAAAATTTAAATAATTTGTAATGTTACGTTTGTTGTCCCGTGTTGTGTGTTTTAGAAAACTACGGAAGTTTGAATTTGCTAGCTACCATAGACCGCATAGGTTTCGTTCTAACAGTTCTGCTTAGTTCTTTTATGTTTAAGAATTATAGGTTTTCGTCTATACGGTGTATGTCGGCTATTTTCTAACTACTCTAATTTTTCAGGACATGGTTGACTGTCCTACTGAATTTGATTGTCCGGTTTAGATTAGAAAATATAGCATGCGCTTACTTTCAAACATTTCTCGAAAGCCTTTCAGCAGTCAAGGTACTTTCTACTCATTTGAAACTTGTCTTGAAATCGATAGTATGCGCCAGTTGAGATGAAGTGTATGTCGAAGTTGGCTAATGGTATGGATCGATTTTGACGGTGTTGTAAAAATGGTCGTTTTGACCTCCTATAGGTTTTCATCACGGTCTTGGCTTTCGTCGCGAAAACGAACATCGCCAAGTTATAGAGCATGTCGGGAGTTGCTGGTACGGCAACCGCACCTAATCAAACTAGGATTTGGTTTTCCAGTTTACTACAAGGCCAAGTTCACGTCTTCGAATGGCTATTCGTACAAAACTGCTTTTGTGTTTTCCGATAGTTTTAGTTTAGAGTACTGTAATGGAATATTTTTCGGGTTGTATTCTGACATAATGAAGCTATATCAATAGAGATGGGTCAACATGGGTCTCCCGAGCTACGGTAACTAGGGGTCTGGGACGTGTGCAGATTGGTGGCGGACAGTTCGAGGTGCCGATTGGTTTTATTACATTGAAAGTTCACTTTTGTTTCGATATTTGATGATCTCTGCTGTCTTCAGCTCTAAGATGGGCCGTGTGAATATACAGGGTTTTCTATGTTTCATTTATTAGTGGATGACCCTTAGGTTTTGCATGTGTCTGTTAGAAATGTAATGTAGATTATACTTCGAACTGCCGTTTATCTAGTTCATAGTAGAGGTTGACGCGTTTTCTCTAGTTTGCTGTTGATGTCAATACTCTACAAAGCTGTGCTGTTGGAAATTATCCAGGAAAACACAGCGCGCTAAGATCAGCGGATAGTGTTCAATCAGATAGTATAAGAACAAAACACTATGTTGACCACATGCGCTGCGAAGAAAAGACAAAACATGATACGCATTATTCAACAACAAAAGGAGAGAAACAAAGACAAGAAAATAAGGTTCTGCATATGGTTCCCAAGATCCTTCATGATTTTAAAAGAATGGATTTTTCATAGTAGCAGCGTCATAGAGTAAAAATTAAATTACTCATTTTAATTTAAAGTTCCAGGTCGCAAATGTTGTGTTGAATATAGGAGACAACTAGATCTATAAGGAGAAAAAAAATTAGCCGTTGAAATGACCGAATTAGCCGTTGACTGACTGAGTTACACGAATTTCGGCAATAGTCTATGGGTAATGAATAAAATTCATAACTATTGAAAGAAGTCGCATCAGCACAAATCCTCTTAGACGTTTTCTGAGGTGGATGTTCCGTATATGTGGGCAAAATACCAACCAAAACGGCGTGAAGTTGGGGACCTTGCTTTTATAACCGAGTTCTATTTAATGAATGTTTTTATTGTAGCAATACCTATTACATTTGACGATATACCTGGAGCTGGGGCGAGCACGGGTTCCATACCGAGTATTTATGATGGTCTGATGTGGACTAATGCTCAGTACTTAAACTCCACTAACTTTGGCGGTACCGGTTATACACAAATTTGTACTAGCTATTGTTTATGGTTTAAAGATGCAACGATGACAATACAGTCAATTAATAGCAGCACCACATTTACATTCAAGTCCTGTGTTATAGGTGCTGGTTGGAATAACGTGCAAACAACAGTAAATGCGTATAATGGTAGTACGTTGTTATATACAACAACTCTATCTTTAACTAATACTCAATCGATGAACTTCGCACCAAATTGGTCGGATCTTACTTCAGTTACATTTTATTCGACTTTACCAAATGGTGGCTATACAGATACGGGAACGGATAATCTTATCGTAACAATCTAAAATAGGCGAAGAGGCAGATTTTCGAGAAAAATGATGTAACTTCGAATATAAGCATATATAGAACAGACATAATAAAGTTTTGATTGCTCATAATGTATGCACTATTTCATTCTGAAATTTCTGTTTGTCCTTGTCATTGTTTCATGTTCGCGCAGCAGCACTTCCTGCTTGCAAGTCGGAGGTTCTGAGTCTCTCGGGTCGATGCTTACGACCGTAAACTAGAATGTATAATGCCAGATACTACAGTTTACGATGACGTATAGTGCAGGAAACGTCAAAATACTCCACCGTTTACGATGAAATACGACGAAGTAATCCAGGAAAAAGTATTACGACGTCGTATACTGTTAATTTTCAGTCAGCTTTTGGATCCAGTTCCCTTTTTCGCCTTTCCTTCAGTTCTTTTGCTTTCGATTATCATACTGAGAAAAGGCCGGCACTACCAGTGCGCACGACATGCTATGTTGCACCGGTACGCACTAGTTCCACATTTTTTCAGTCACCGTTTTGTTATCTACGATTGATTCCACTATGCTTTACTCGGACTTTTCTTCGAGAACATACTGCAATCAAATTTTAATGCTTTGATTATTATGAGAATGCTTTGATAATTGTCTGTCGAGCAGACAATGCTTTTGTCATGTTATAATCTCTACCTAAAAAGGAAAAATCAATATGAATAAAGAGTCAGGTAGTAAATTTAGAGGATGTGCACAGCAAATTCAGCTCTCTGTTTCTTTATCTAAATGGGTCTCATTTTCGCTAGTCACAATGTTATACTATCAGATTTTCGGACAAGTTTTTTTTTGAGACACATCTCTTTCGCAGATTAACTATGTCCGTATATTTCACATAAAAGAATGAAAACAGCTTTTGATATAAAAGGGTCTGTTAAAAGGAATATTTTTTAAGATCGCTGAGACACTGAGTTCATCATATTTTACCCGCTTTTCTCTTCGGGAAGATAATGCAGTCAGGGTCAATCATTCGCGTCAGACTCACTTTGAAGTTGAGATCAAAATTTTGTACACAATAGTTTTATTAACATGCCCTCTCTTTATCTAAATCCTATGTTTCTCAAACCGGCCCAAAACCGCCAATTAATAGCGGTTAACCATCCAATTAATTGTGAGGTTAACCGCCCGGTTGACCATAATTAACCGTTGAATTGTCCAATTGACCGCAACTAATCGTTGAAACATCCGGTTGACCGCAATTAACAGTTGAACTGTCCGGCTGACCGCATTTAACCGCCGGTTATTTTGAAGTTTACCGTGATTAATTGTCCGTTTTCCGCTGAGCCAAATGATCATACTTCTCATAAAATACGGCTAAATTACGTTCTGGAAAAGGGTTGAGGTTTCTTAACGTCAAAAAAAAGCCTTTTAGGTATTTTAAAATACCAAAGCAGTTCAAAGTTTTTCAAATCACGGTTTTTCGTATTCCAAAAATCCTAAGAGTTTTTTCATAAAAGTAAAAAACGTTTAAATAGTTATGATATGGTTCACACCATTTTCCGTATTTTAAAATATCGTTTTGTTTAAAGAGCGAAGAAACAACTACTACATATTGACATCTTTTACTTTAAAAAAGTAAAACAAAATGTCGTATATTTATAGAAAATTTTTCAGTGGCATTTACAAATCGAAACGAATACAGTTTGATGTCTTTTATGAATTTTCGTTTGAAAAATTTTTTGTATAAAATTTTGCTATTGACGTGTAAGGCAGTCGTAGTTTTGATCGACAGTAACAAAAGAATTTTTGACAGATCTTTTATTAATGCAAATCGTTCATCTTGTTGTAACTGATAAGCATTGATTGTTCTTAATTCCTCTTGTTTAAATATTTTGTCAACAACTGCCGTTATATATAAAGGACGGGGGTCGATATGAGGCAAAATCGGTCCCCTCTCAGATCAAGCTCATATTCACCAGTCTGATGTGATTTTTCTCACTGATTAAAACTAGCATCTCAAAAAAACCATTTTCAGCCCCCCTGGAAAAATCCCGCATCCAAACTTTTCTCCTCTTTAATGAACTTTATTTAGAATATTTTCCCAGTTTCTCCTCTTTGCCCAAGAAAACCTAAACTACTGTACATCATTCGATAGAGAATTTCGCGGGCTACACATGATATATATAATACTGAGAGCAAATGGGGCGCGGGTGTCCTAACACAAGAAATACTAGCCCCCACCTCCACAAATCCAAAGATCAGCAGCGTTTATCGCTTATATTGTCTATCGTTAACCACGCCACCTTATATATCATTCGATAGAGAATTTCGCGGGCTACAAGATGTGAATACCTGTGTTGGCGTCTCTGGTTAAGGTCACGTAGGCCAAAGTGCTTTTATTTTAAAGAATAGCGAGTATTTACATCTTCATCATCGGTTGAATCACAAAAGTCTGAAACTTGAATACTGTCTGTAAATAGTTGGGTAAAATCGCCGGAGGGCCTGACGCGCGGTTTGGACACCGAGTGCCTGGTTTCATGCCGAATTCGTTGACGCTGAATTCGGTCGCGGTGTGAGTTCGAGCGTTGTCGACGAGGCAGACGAACGAATGACCTTTGAAGTCTTTTTTGAACTGTAAATTAAAATAAGAAAAATATCATTTTTTTTATTATTAAGTAGAAGGTTATTTGCTTACTTGAAGAAGCTGGAACAGTCGTTCAAATTGTTCCAGTATGTGCCCGTTATCGAAGTAATTGTCGCCGCTGACATTGATCATTCCGGAGGGACTATTTCCCTCGTACTTGATATTGGATGCGGCCTTGACTGATGGATATTTCAGGCATGCCTTTTCATATTCCTTGTCAGATAGGGTGAGGAAGGGACTACTCGGATGCACGACCAAGAAATCCGAGGACATAATACTTCTTCCTCTTCCCTTGTTGTAGAAAGGAGCATTGCCCGATATTATCCATCGTTTGGCACTGATCTCGCCACTCTTGTAAGTGGATTTTCTATACTTTTCATGCCTTTCATGCTTTTCCCCCCTGTCATGCTTTTCATACTAGTCTACTTTTCCTCCCTTTCACACTTTTCATGCCTTTCATACTTTTCCTCCGTTTCATACTTTTCATACTCTTCTGCTTTTCACACTTTTGTTCTCTGTCGGGCTTTTCTTCCTACTCTACTTTTCATCCCTTTCATGCCTTTCATACTTTTCTTCCCTTTCGTACTTTTCATAGTTTTCCTCTGTTTCGTGCTTTAATGACACACAAAAGATGAAATAACTTTTCCATATGCAATCGGAGATGGAGAATCCAAATATGAACGAATTAAGTGTTATAAGCATGGAGACAAATAACTATACAGGGTTTTCGACCGAAAGTCACTTTCGCCCATACTGAGTATTTCAAGGTTTCCTCCTTGAAGAAAGGGTCTAGCATTTTTTACAAGGTGATAATATTCTAGAGCTCGCCGAGCTCTATCGAATGATGTGTGTTTAAAGCAAATCTACCAACTGCTTAAAGTTTGAATTAAACGCACGTTATGAAAGGCATAAAAAGTATGAAAAGTATAAAACTATGAAAAGCAGGAACAGCAAATCTAACAACTGCTTGGAGTTTGAATTAGGAGCACCTCACTTTTCATAGTATTCTTGTTTTCCTCCCTTCTATACTTTTCATACTACTGTACTTTTCATGCCTTTCATACTACTCATCCCTTTCAAGGTTTTCATGCCATTCTACTTTTCCTACCTTTCATAGCTTTCATATCCCTTAAAAGTATGAAAGCCATGAAAGGTAGGAAAAGTAGAATACTAGGAGGAGTATGAAAGGGACGAAAAGAAGAATACTATGAAAACTATCAAAAGAAGGAAATGCATGAAAGGGATGAAGTGTAGAAGTGTGATAGCATGAAAAGTAGAAAAGTTTCAAAGGGACGAAAACTAGGATACTGTGAAAAGTATGAGACGGATGAAAAGTAGAATAGGATGAAAAGTACGAAAGGGGTGAAACCATGAAAGCCATGAAAAGTATGAAAAGTAGAATAGTACGAAGAGTATGAAAGGGAGGAAGAAGTATGAAAGGGATGAAAAGTAGAATAGCCTGAAAGTAAAGGTAGGAAAAGTATGAAAAGTAGAATAGCCTGAAAAATTTGAAAGGGTTGAAAAGCGCGAACAGTTAAGGAAAGGGTGGAAAGTAGACAGATGTGAAAGGAGGGAAAAGTATGAAAAGTTTGAAGGTCATGAAAACTAGAATAGTATGAAAGGGATGAAAAGTAGAATAGGATGAAAAGTATGAAAGGGACGAAAAGTATGAGAAGTAGAATAGCATGAAAACTATGTGAGGTAGAATAGTACGGAAAGCATGAAAAGTAGGAAAAGTAGAATAAGATGGAAAGTATTTGAGGGAGGAATAGTATGAAAAGTGGAATTGCATGAAAACTATTAAAAGTAGAATAGGTTGAGAAGTATGAGAGGGAGGAAAAGTTTGAAAGGCATGAAAAGTGGAATAGCAATGAAAAGTTTGAAAGTATGAAAGGGTGGGAAAGTACGGTAGGGATGAAAAGTATGAAAAAATATCGTGGTAGCCCATGTCGCACTTCTTTTCGTAATACCGCCGGTTGCCGACCGGTCTGTAAATTACCGCTGGGTAACCGTACCGTTCGATATAAGTACTGGTTTAACGACGGCCTTTTCTTCCACTGAGGATTCCCGCCAGGTATAGGAAAAACCCGCCGGTAAACCGTTTTGACGCATTCATCTTTTTGTTTTTCGGTTGGCAGTTTATATATCATTAAAAACACGTAACTCTGCCATGTGAATCTCTTGGCGTTAGGGTTTTTCTCTTCGTCTATCTTATAATTTTCGGAAAGAATATCTTAGAATCCGGGAAAGCATCTGGTTTTGTAGAATGAAGTGCGTTCGTCAAAATTCACTATTAGCTAAATTCGAAATAATCGACGACTTTTCGGTTACGATCGAAATACTAAAAGCCCTAAAAAAACCCACAATGTTTTTGGACTCTTCGTATTTTAAGTACAGCG